TGGATGGACAGATGTATGTATGTTTGGATGGACAGATGCATGTATGTATGGATGGACAGATGTATGTATGTTTGGATGGACAGATGTATGTATGTATGGATGGACAGTAGGTTTTGTGAAGTACATATTTCCAGCGAGACAACACACTCACATGTGGGGAGTGTACATTGATAGCAGCTTCCTGCTGACAGCTAGTTAATGTAGTTAATGTGCTCAGCTGACCTCACTCTGGAGTCACTGTGATGAGTTAGCACACGTGAATGTTCAGAGTAGATATCAGTGCTCTTACTGATGTGGTTCAAGTGCATGAACTCATGCGCCCCCTAAGGGAGGCGCACCTCACACTTTGAAAAGCCTTGCCTTAAATATTTCATTATATATCAACAACATTATCTCAAGTGCAGAATTTCTGTTTTAAAAGCAGGATTCAATTCAATTCATCCATCCATCCATTATCTTTACCCGTTTATTCCATTTTTGGGTCACGGGGGTTGCCGGTGCCCATGTCCAGCAATCATTGTGCGAGTGGCGGGGTACACCCTGGACGGGTCGCAAGTCCATCACAGGGCCACTTAGAGACAAACAACCATTCACTTTCTCACTCACACCTAGGGACAATTTAGAGTTACCAATCAGCCTAACATGCATGTTTTTGGTCTGTGGGAGGAAACCGGAGCACCCGGAGAAAACCCACGCATGCACAGAGAGAACATGCAAACTCCACCCAGAAAGATCCCTGGACCGGGGTTTGAACCAAGGACCTGCTCGCTGAGAGGCAGCAGCTCTACCAGTTGCGCCACCGTGCTGCCCCAGTTCAATTCAACCTTTATTTAAACAGATAAATCACATTGAGCCTTCAAGACTCTTATAGTTTTGACAGACAGAAAAGTTGTGAAAGAAACAACAATACATTTAGGATGTTGTGATGTTGCAGCCTTCAGTTTTGACAGAATCAGACTTACTGATGTAGTGATGTAGGGCTAGGTTAGCTTCAGCTAGCTTCAGAGCTCCACTACAATCAATATTTAATAACGGGTTCTCACTTTTTCGAGCTACTTGACAGATATGTGACAGAGGTACTGTGTGGGAGATGGTCTAATCAGTGACATGAGATGTTAATTTTCTTTGACCCATCAAAATGAATGTGGTAATTTATTAACAGAATCAAAATTTAACATCGAACATTGTACACTTGATTATACTGATCGGCTCTGATTAATAAAATTAAAGATGGGGAATGAAGGAGTTTAAATGGAGGGAAAAGATGGATGAGGGAAAGTGTGTTGGCGAGGAACAGCACCCTCCATCCGACCCCAGCTCAGCCTCGGTACATTCGGTAGTGAAGCGACTCATTACCTTTGCAGAAGATAGGTCAGCTCCGGTATGGAGTTCCATTTCAACGCTACCTTTCAGCGTCTCCTCAGGATGGCTGAGAATCATCCGAAGTAGTGACGGTACTCCGTTCAACAACACGCTCACCTCCCGGGTGAACTCACATGAGCTGTGAGTCCGTCAGAGGTTCCACTCAGATGTGGTCATTCCATAATCCCAACTAGACTCGGAAGAACTCCCAACTAACTCCAGCACTTCAGAACTTTCAGAACTTCTGTTTTTCCCTATGAAGTGTCGACTTTTAAAGAGTTCTGCTTCCGGTCACTTTTGGGAAGTCCTGATTGGTTGAAAGAACCAACAGGGGTGTGGTTTTAGTGACGTCTGAGGGTCATTACAAGTCAGAAAAACAGCGGAGATGTTTAGGAACAGACAGAGAAATGTTTTGGAGAAATGACAGACTTACAGGTGCCAGTTTTCTTGTTTCTGTCTGAGAGGTTTAAAAACATGATAGTTCGTTCCAATAAACTTGTTTGCGACTGTCTCCGACTTTTGACCGACATCACTCTCTCATTTCAGACAGAAGATCAAAAATGCATAATTACTTTGTAACAGACATTTAACTTGATTTCTACTTTGAATGAGGATTAAAAATCATTAATACTGTTTCACAGTTGATTTAAAATGAGTGGTTCACTTCAATATTTAAAAATGGTTTGAACTAAACACACTTTTGATTATCAAGACATTGTAAAATAGTGATGATAATATAAAAAAGAGAGTGTTCTTTCAATTGATTAGTTCAGGATACAATTAGAAAGTCTCTGGATGAGCTCATTTGTATTTCTGGATTCAAATCAATGAAATAACAGTTTCTGTCCCATGAAGGTCTTCAGAGGCAGGTTTTGACCGGAGGCCGAGTTCACTACACTGACAAACGTTAAGACTTCAAACAGAGTGATGGAATGAAATAAATCACATGGTGAAAGTGATGCACAGTTAAAAGGACAAATCTAAGTTTGGGCTGATCTAACATGTTTAAAAAGATCAGATGTCTTAGCTGACCATGGGAGGAACTCAGCACACTGATTCACTGACACACTCTTCATGTGTGGACAGGTGTTTTCATGTTAGTAGACTCTGCCAGGGTTCTGTCGCAGGAAGCAGCAGCTCTACCAACTGCGCCACCGTTCCCCCTCACGCTAACCTCATATAAGTGCTGGTGATGGTGTCTTAAGACATCTTCCTTGTCTGCTGTCCTTCTCTTACTGTTTCATATGACTGTCAAGCAACTGCCTGATAACACAATTGTTCTGTTTGGGGTGCCATCGTCTATACCCTAAGAGGTGACCGTTCTAACATACCAGTGTTTTGCTAATTTAATATTCTACGTACCCATCACTGGTCTTTATGTGCAGCAATCATTCAGAATACTTATCCTTTTTTTCACTGAGTGTAAACAGCAACATTTTGCTCATTAAAAGTATAATTTACTGTCTCTTACTCACAGATGCATCAGCAGCCCTGCAGGTTCGCGCTCTGAAGGACTACTGCAACAACTACGACCTGACGAGCCTCAACATCAAAGCAGGAGACGTCATCACGGTAACATGGACACAAAACTTTATTTTCTGATGCATGCTCAATAATCCAGGTAGAAAAATCTAAAAAAGTTAAGTCTGGTCTTCTGGACGTTCAAAAAAAAAAAAACAACAACAAAAAAAATGTAGAAACATTTCTTCTTTCATCCAAAAGACTTCTTCAGTCTGAGGTGCTGTATTCAGCTCAGTCTTATAAATAGCACCTTCTCATAGTGGATCAACCAGTTTGCTAGCTTGATCATGTGAGCAGCTGGTTTTGGTTGTCAGCAGCAAACTGGTTGATCCACTCTGAGAAAGTGCTATTTATAAGACTGAGCTGAATACAGCACCTCAGACTGAGGAAGTCTTTTGGATGAAAGATGAAACGTTTCTACATTTTTTTTGTTTTGTTTTTTGAATGTCCAGAGGATCAGACTTAAATTTTTTAAAGCTTTATTTTGTCTTCATAATATTTATAATAATTAGCTACATTTAGGTGTAAGAAAGATTCCTATGGAAAACGGTGTTGCTAAAGACTTACTGTAATTGAGAGGTTTTCATATTTCAGTCCTAACATCGGTCCTGCTTTGAACCCAGTCTGGTAGTTTGGTAGATCTCAGCCCCCTTTGTTGAGATAACTGGTAAATATGCAAGAATGAATGGTTTCAGCATTCCTTCCTTATTTACTACAAATATGTTTTACTCGCAGCGCTGCCATCACTCATGAATATTGATGAGAATTTATTCAGCCTTTGGGACGAGCTGTAACGAAGCCAAGCGGTGCTGCTGGATCCTTCCTCAGGCTCTGAATGAGCAATTAGGCATCGCTGCTAACGAACTGAACAGCTCCAAGTGCAAATTGGCATTTTTCACTTTGGAAATTAAAACCAGCAACAAATCTTTATGCAGTTTTTATATTGGTCAAACATAATCTTGCTCCATATTTGTCTTTCTGTCAGGTTTTGGAGCAGCATCCCGATGGACGCTGGAAAGGATGTATCCATGACAACCGGACAGGAAATGATCGAGTGGGCTACTTCCCGTCCACTTTGGTTGAGGTCATCAGCAAGCGCACAGGTAGGTTATTTCCCTTTGTGTGTGAGAGAGTGAAAGTGTTAGACCTTTTTCAGTTGTTATGTTATAAACAAAACACCATCAAATCAGAACTATTACACGAGTTTGGGCCGAAAACAGGAAGCGCCTGGAAAGAACTTCTGGTTCGATTAGTTCAGCACCTGAACCGGACTCATTATGGAATCCAGTTGTTTGTTAACGTGGTAATTAATACCTGTCCTGCTTTTATTACACGGTGTCTTTATCTATATTGTGTGCATCATGCTTGTGTTGAGTAAAGTGCAGAAAAAATAAATTGTGTGAGACTTTTTTCAGGGATCTAACTCTCGTCTAACTCTGTCCAGCTCTCAGTTTCTGTCTTTGTAGATTTTGCCCCAAACCAGGTAAAGTTATTTTAAAATTGTGAGACATACAGAGCAGATCCTAGCAAACAGAACTAGTATTTAGTTTAAAAAAAAAAAAAAAAAAAAAAAAAAATATATATATATATATATATATATATATATATATATATATATTGCTGATCAAACAAAGGTGCTCCTGACAGAAAACAAAAACGAGCGTTTGCTCTCCCTCTTTTAGCCCTGTAACATAAATGTAGAAACTAAAAATACCAAGATAAGTAATCCAGTGTGACCATTAAAGTTTCAGTATTTCAAAATTACAGTTCAACAAAACGTGTTAAAGTTATATAAAAACAGGACAGCATAATAGCAACTGATTCAAGCTGAAAAGGTCACATCCATGAACTTCCACCAGTAATTACAGAGAGATACAGATCATCTCTAAATGTTAGGACAACGAATACAATCAACGCGACACCAGGTGCATAGGCATTGCATTAATTATATGTGAAGGGGACGTGTTCCTCTCACATTGAAAAAATATTAGTTTGGACCCCCCTCCCTCCCACATTTACCATCAAATCTTAGTTCACCCAGCGCTGTTTCTATTTCTTCATGAGCAACTCCATTCCACTTGATTGTCCACACCAGGTTTTCCTGGTTACCTACAACAACTTACCACACCGTATGCAGTGTTTCCTCCAGGTCACTTGGCTTGGCAAGGTACTCACGGGGGAGGAGTGGGAGAGACCTCTGCGCTACATGGTAGCTTAGCGCTACATTAGTGCAGGCAGTTGACCAGGGTGGGGGTGGGGGGTTAGGATGTGTGAGAGAAGCGGAGCGTTACATCTGTAGCATCTTAGAGTGTTTTTATTGCGCGCCGTTAGCTTAGCACTACGTTAGTGCCGGCAGTTGTTGACAGGGGTGGGGGTGGAAGAGGGAGGGTTAGGATGAGTGAGAGAAGCAGAGCGTGCTCTATTCATACAAGGAGAGCTGTTGGTCAGGCTACTTCTTGTTGCTCTCTCAAATAGTTATTGAATCAAGCATTTACTTATGTAGGTAAACGTAGATTAACAAGCCGTTAAAATACACTAGAATGCAGGAAATGGCATCTATTTTTTTTCAAAATTTTATGGGAGAGGTCTCCCAGACCACCCCACCAGTGACCCCCCCCCCCAATACACACACACATTACAAATGCTTCTGATACCAATGACAAGGTGGAAAACAAGATTCACTGTTTCACACATTATCTGAAGAAAGCTTCTGAATTTTCTAAAGATACATGTTTTTTTTTAAAGAAAACATATTTTGTTTTTGCAATTTAACCAGATAAATCAAGCTTGGTTGCCATGAGATGACTTAGGTAACTTGTAATCTTGAGAAAATCACATCAAAGATAATATTAGTTGATCTCAGCTTTGTATTCATGAACAGGATGAGAACTTTATGAGATTTATCTAACAGCACAGCAGGTCCAGTGCATACAGTGCTGTCACTGTTACCTGTTGCTCATTGATCGTGTGCAGACAGAAACTCACAAAAAATAATGTGATTTTACTTCAATTAAGAAATATTGTTTATTATTCTATTATTATTATTATTATTATTAATAATAATATTTATTAACCTTTAGTGCACTAGATAAAAATAGCCTTCATTTCTATATGGTGAGGACATTAGCCTATTAGCTTAATGTAGCCTACTGCTCAGGCTTTCAAAGAATGCAGCTATAAATTCACTAAAGCGTTAAAATGTTCTTTTCATTTAAAAAAGAAAAAATTGAACATTTTGTGTAATTCTCATTCACTTTCCAAGAGCTAGACAAAATACAATTTTTGTGACCTGCTAGAGCCGTTAGCCTGTTGGAGCACGTTAGCTAACTGTTCAAAGCTTGGAAGGTTTCATGGGGAAAAGGTCAGCCTTGCTTTTCATTTGAGTTAGTTTTTGTTTATGTTTATTAGTTTTGTCAATAATCACGACCGTTCCTGACGAAGCCTAGAACTCCGTGTCAGAATCGTTTCAGACGCTCCCGTAACCTCCCAGTAACATTCTTTAGGGGGAAATTAACCCTATTGAGAGCCATAAATGCATTTTTTAATCCATGCTGATCATATCATAAGAACATGCATTCCTTTCAACATTGTTTGCTTTTATTTTACCTCTACACTTTACATTTGCTTTTTACATTAGCCCACTAGTTGATGCGCCACTTTAACAGTTGAGGGTCTGTGCTGAATCGTACCTGGTGCATGCATCGCAGGTGAACGTCGCGCACGACTTCGTTCTCTCATCTCATCCAACAAAACTGTTTTAGTTCACATGGAAAAAGTAAAACACACACTTGTTGTGCACAAGTATACGTTTAGTAAAAATAATTCAATTCTCATGGCAGATGTTTAAAAAGATTTTTTTAAAAGCCCTCCATATCCAGCCACCGACCAACTCCTTCTGCGTTTACTAAGAGGAAGAAATGCTTAGTTTTTTTTTAAATTATATTTAAAAATTACCATAAAATAAATATTTTGTTGATTTAAGAAAACTGCATTGTGTATTTTTTTTTTTTACTAAAGGTCTTTAAGGAGCTAAAATAATAGTTTAAAAAGTCATTACAGTGTGATATTTCTATTTCAGGCTGACATCGCTCTAACAGACTGACTAGCTGAACATGGACAAATACCGTAATATTTTTAAGCAGTTAAATAATGTAGATGATTTTTTCCCCCTTAAAAACTCTGATTGTCATTAAGTTAAAAAAACAGTTTGAAGGTTGAACCAAAAAATATACTATATAAAACCTCCAGATTACTAATTCTTACATAAGCTATTTTGTTGTTTCACAAAGCAACAGTAAAAACCTTTTGGTTCCAGTTTGCCCATTCTTCAGAAGTTTTCTAATAAGATGAACTGACAGCTGTTTTATATTTGATTGCACTGATAACTGATTTAACCGACGTTAGTGGAAGCTAATTTCCCATAATATAAAAGCTGTTCATCATGTAAATGTTCATTTCTTATTAGACATGCTGTCCAGCTTCTTGATCTATTATTTATCTGCTTTCCTCCATTTTTTATGAACCCATTACACTTCTCCTAATCTTCTGGGCGACGCACGTTCAGATCCATCTTATCACTGCAGTTTGATTGTGCAGCATAAAATAAAGGGCTCAGATATGTTACACTGTGCATCCATGTTTCAGGTTTGGCTGTTTGTCCGTTTCTTAGTCTTCATGTAGTCTCTATGTGTCGGTTTGTCTTTATGACTGTTATCTCCTCTAATAGCTGCATCATCATTCCTCTCTTATCACCGATCCATCATTTATCCTCTTGTTTTCCTCTGATTACCTTAACATTACATTAACTTACTGGTCCACAATTCAAATTCTTTTGCAGCCTTAAGAAACATGACAGATCAGCATGATTGTGTGTATCAGCTGTTTACAGAGAGAAACACAGCTGCTGTGTTCCTGAAACGGCCTCGTCAGCCTCTGTTTAACCACTGTTGCACTCATCCACACACAGACACACATTCAGGATCAACAGCAGCTATTCTCCTAAATGTTTAATTTAATCCTCTCATTTTCACCAATTTTTGATCGTTTATTTTTGGCAGCATTTTTCAGGTCATAGTTTTAATTGCTTCTTGTTTGTTCTGCTAATAAAGATGCTACAAATGTCCAGTAAGATGAAAAACATTAATTTACAAAATAAGTTACTGCTGTGGATTCATTTCACCTCAAAAGCTGCTTTAACACCTTAAAACAAAAGTGAACTTTGCTCAAGTAGATTAGTGTTTCTAAATGTCATGATGGCGTCTGCTAAACATCAGTATAATAATAGTGGATAAGTGTCTGTGGAAAATTGAGGTTGCTTATATTAACCACTAATAGGTGTCAAATGACATTTTGGTGAGACCATTGCTGAAGGTAAGGTCTTGCTCTAAGATCTTTTATGAGGTGAGTTTTAAGAGGAAGACAATAATTGAAATGTGAGTGAGAGTGGGAAGAGCTGCTCTGCGAAGACGCTACATACAAGTTAAGCTCATAAAGTGTGACTTTCTGTAACACTTCTCTTTGCACCAAAGACTACTGTAAGTGGATGACATGAGCTGTTTTTTTGTGTTGAACCCACGTGCAGGCAGACACAGGAGACTCGAACGTAAAATAATGAGTCTATTTATTTAAACAAAAACAGAAGCTGATGGGGCAAAGGAGAGACAGAACATAACAGGCTGGGAAGTACAATTCACAGACAAAAAGGAAACACAGAGTAGAGTTGCCATCCATCCATTATCTACCGCTTGTTCCGAAGTTGGGTCGCAGGGGCAGCATCTTGAGCAGGGAGTCCCAGACATCTCTTTCCACAGCCACCTCTTCCAGCTCTTCTGGGAGGACCCCAAGGCATTCCCAGACCAACTGAGAGACATACTCTCTCCAGCATGTCCTGGGTCTTCCCCGGGACCTCCTCCCAGTTGAACATGCCCGAAGAACCTCCCAGGGGGCATCCTTACCAGATGCCCAAACCACCTCAACTGGCTCCTCTCAATGTGGAGGAGTAGCGGTTCTACTCTGAGTCTCTCCTGGATAACTGAACTTCTCACCCTATCTCTAAAGGAGAGTCCAGCTACCTTGCGGAGGAAACTCATTTCAACTGCCTGTA